TTTTTTATTATTATAAAGATAAATTAAATTTATTTATTTCATATATACAATATGGATGTCAAATCGAAGATCATCAAAAGATGATTAATTTGATATATTATATATGTAAAACCGATAAGAAATACAAAAGTTATCAACTTTTAAAATACATTTATAATTCAATAGCTAATTGAAGGAAACAAATCAAAAGTCAGAGATATATTAGTCACTTAGTACCTCAGTATGTAAAATTACCAAGAAATAAAAGGTTATAGTGGTACAAGTGATATTAAAATACCTAAGTTAGCTAAATAATATTTATGGAATGTCCAAATCTAAATTATTAACTATTAATTTATCAATATTATTTGTCCAAACCTAATTACGAAGCATGATTCTTTGCCAAGTAGGATTCCGGAGCACTAGAAGCAGTCACGTAGGCTCAGCGCATTCGGGAAATCAATATTATTTGTCCAAACCTAATTACGAAGCATGATTCTTTGTCAAGTAGGATTCCAGAGCACTAGAAGCAGCCACGTAAGCTCAGCACATTCGGGAATAATATATAGCAGGAGGATAAAGGGATCGTTCACCATCTATCTAAAAATATCTAATTTTCCAGTTTTATATTCTCTACTATATAGGTGAGATGAATTTCTTCGAAAAATTATGTCCAATGGACTTTCACTTAATTTAGGCCGTGATAGCATGTTGACTTTATCACATTGTTTGATTAAACTATCTATACTTATATAAAAAGTTATCTTATTTATTAAAATTAGTAGCAAAAAGTAGGTCAGCATTATGCAGCCCATAAATAATAGTTTTGTTATTTTTTATTTTTTCTTTGAAAATCATATAATTTAATTTCTAAATACGTTTTAATATAATCATACAATTTAACCGTTCAATTTAATTTATAAAAATCATACATTTTTTTTTTTTTAAAACACGCTTTAATAAACAAATATATATAGCACTTTTGTAATAAAATTGAATAAAATGTGTTTCTTAAATATCTAAACAATTTAAAAATTCAAATATTTAAATTAATTGATAAAAAAATTATAAATCTCTATTTTATCTAAATATGTAATTTTATTTAAAATAATTTTTAATATAGCAAAATTTATTTAGAAAATCGTATCGATCCTACCAGTTCAACCGACTGGTGTTGACGTATTCAATAGCAAATATTTTATTCAAGTGAACTAGACTGATTACAAATCGGTTCTCGGTCCATCCAATCGGACTGTGTCCAACACGGTTTAATTTAAAAATAATGGGTAAATCTTGATTAATTTATTTGTGTATTTAATTTATACACAATCGTAATATTATTTTCGCGTGCATCGCACGGGCCACGCACTAGTTGACCTTTAAATGTACACTTCAAAAATCTGGGAAAATACTAGGAGCATTTTTTGACCCTTTTCATGTAGAACTTTAGTTTGGAAACGAATATTTGGTGTCATTGGATACATCTTATTTTCCATTTTTGGTCTAGTCTCGAGATTTATCTCGTTGAAAGTGAAATGGAAATTGAATAAAAAAATTCGCGACAATTAATGTAAATTTTTTTTTTTTTTTTTTTCGAAACGATAGAGGTAATATATAACTAGCACAAATGTGCAAAAGGCAGCCACTGGCTGAATACAAAGCAGCTAACAGCTGAATAGAAACAACCACCGACTAAAAAAGAGGGAGGACAGGTCATAAGACCGCCTAGAAACGGACCCCACCAGGGTAATAAAACCAAAAGCACACAGAAACACTACTAACGAACAAACACAAAGACCCCAATAGGGTAATGCCCGAGTGCAGATCCCAACAGGATAATAAAGGCGCACTCGGGCGGACAATTAATGTAAATTGAATCCCACTTTTTTTCCTTTACACATTTCACTAACAGTAGCACGAGTTAATTTTATTAAAGTAAATATTTATATTTGAATGATTAAAAAAAGGTAAAAACAATTTATTAGAATAAAAAAAATATAACTTATATATTATTAGAGCATTTCCGATGCTCAATGTTGTAGTGGTAAATTACATTCCACATCAACACATTTATTAATATCACAATTTTTATCATCCAATGTACAATGTGATCACAAATGTTGTGATGATGTGGACATAATTAATGTGTACAATGTAGAGAAGAATGTGGTTCATCCACATTCTACTCCACACTCTAGTTAGCTAATGAGGAGAAGAGAGAGAATTATAATTACTATTTTCAAATTATTTAATTATTTAATTAATTTTATTAATTCATATTAAAATTTTATTATTTGGCAATTAGATAAAATTGTAATTAGGCAACATTGTACATTGGAGATGATTTTTTGATTTAATAGTTGTGAACTTAATATTTGTCCTATATGGTTCACAATTTATTTAATTTTTTGACATTTGTCAAAAAATTTCTATAACAACATTAGAGCATTGGAGATGCTCTTAAACAGAAAACAACATACGTAAACCACATTTAAGAAAATAAACACTTGACACACACACACACACACACACACACACACACACACACACACATATATATATATATATATATATATATATCCTGCTAAATAATTTAATTGATTTACTTAAGCCTATTTAGAATCTTAATATATATATATATGATTGATATTTGTTTTATGAAGATTGCATAGTCAAATATAACAGAGATTGTAAAACGTTTTTCTTGATAATCTATAGTCTTATTATTTTAAAATTGTAAATTACTTAATTTAAAGAATGAACAAATTGTGTATGTGTATGCAATCAATTTCAAATTTGTATTCTATAGGATTAAACAAACCCAAATTTTAGGATGTTCCAAACCGATTTCATTTTAAATTCCAAACTAATATTATCTAACTCTACTTTATGTTAAAAAAATTTGAACTGAATTAATTATTATATGGTATAAAGCGAATGGATTTATTTTTGGCATTGATGGTTTTTTCTCTGGAAAATTTGTTATTGATCAGTAACGGTGTACTTTTTCTGTAGAGCGCATGCCAATATATTGGTTTTTAGACGTGTGTTTCAATTTTATTTCATTTTTTCGTGTGAAAGTAACATAATAAAATTACAGTAGCCCCGACAAAATAATATGAACGAATATATTGATATAATGCGTGTATCTATGTTTTTTTTATAGAAAAATATCTGGTCAATTTTTTCGTATAACTAGTGGGCCTCGATTTAATTCATTTTTTGTTTAAAAAATAATCATACCTTTATATGGTAAATATATAGATGTATAATAAAGTTTTACCAAAATAATTATTTTATGGAATTACGTTATTGTCAGATCTAATTTCTGAATACAATTTTTAAAATGACACATGGTTTGAAATGAATATAATGCAATTTATTATCAGTTATGTGAAATGCACAAGTTGTTTACTAATTTAAAATATATATTATGATGTAATATTGAATAATTTAAATTTTATATAATATTTTCAATAAATCAATATATGTACACTGTATTACATATTGATTTCATTTTTTTAATTTATAAATATTATTTAATAAGAATTTTTAATTTATAAATTAATATCTCTTACACGTGCATCGAACGAATTTGTACTAATTTTCAATAAACAGAATATTATAAAGCAAACTAAAAGCAAAAGGTTAATTTTGTGAAGTGGAAGGTAGAATCTGATGCTTAGATCTTGGATGGATCTATATACTTGGCCCAAATTTTAATAACAGCCCAAATCGCAATTATGGGTCTATTGTAGTCTAATTGGATCTATAATACTCGGCCCAACTGTGGATCTATTTACAGTACAATCCATAAGCTCGAGTTCAGCTTATTTATCAATATTCACCAGCCAAATTCGATTTTAAGTGAGCTAAATTACAAAAAGATGCACAATAATTTTTTTTTTTGAGTCTTAAGAAGCTTTAAATGACCCCAAACTTGACTCGTTTAGTGAGTCGAGCTCAAGCCTAAACGAGCCAAGCAGGTCGAACGGCTATGAATATAATAAAAAGAATTACTAAAATATTATTATTATTATTATTATTATTATAATTATTATTAGCGTTTCACTATTTTGTCTATTCAGAGCGCCAGTGTCTCAGTAAAGGAAGTTCTTCATTGCACTTTTCAGTCACTCAGAGTGTGCAAAACCTAAAAAAAAAAAATTGCAAAAAATTGAGAGAAAAGGGGAAAAGCAAGGAGAATATCGAAGTGAGTATCCGTATCAGTCTCTTTCTTTTTGTGAACAACGTTCTCCGGCGATGTTCCTTTTCGCCGTCGCCGGTCGGCGATTGTTCGTATTGTTTCTTTTTTGCTTGGTAGGAAGTAACTGATGTTCTAGGCGTTTGATCTTTGGGTTATTTGAGGAAGATCAGTTTCCTAGATGAAAATGCATGTCGCGTTATCTATCTGTTCCCGTCTTTTTTTTTTTTTTTTTATTTCCTTTTGTTTGGATAGGATCATGAACTGAAATCGAATACATTGTTATTGGGCATTTTTTAACGCATTTGTTTAAATGATGGTTGTAAGAGCTCCTTTGTGTTTGTGTGTGTGTGTGTATTTCTGTGTCACCGTAGATATTATTGTGACGAATTTTGGGTTTAGGGTTTTGCTAAGTTTTCCTGTGGGATTGAGGAGGAAGTGATTTGGCTTCTTGTTGCTCTTATGGGGAGGAAGTCACTTGGGTTTAGCTCTTAAGGTCCTAAAAAGTAAAAATAGTGCCTACTATGATAGAAGGCCAGCTTGTTGCTCTAAGATTCTGGAAATGGCTTCTTCACTTTTCATTTTGATGATTGTGGTTCTACACCAAATTAAGAATTTGGTCCTCCTTTGGCATATATATGGTCAACAATACAAGAATAGTTTCAGACTTTCAGTAAATTCTGTCTTAATTTGCTGAGATTTTTTGGTACTTTTCTGAACCCTTTTGTTCCAATGCATGGGATGCCTAATTGGCTTTTTTGAAAGACACAACGTTTGAAGTTTTCACCTGTTCTACTTCGATGGGCACTTTTTACAGATGGGAGCATGGGATTTTTTGGGAGAAGCTGGACCAAGCGACAAGTATCCAAATGGCTCCGTCAGAATGGACCTTGACGACGACATAGATTTTGACTATTCTTCTGATGACGAGCCCGACAATAATCCCATGGAGGGGCTTGATGAAAGTTTCCTGAAAATGTTTTGCAGGAAAGCCGCCACTTCATTTTTTGACCAGTATGGTTTAATCTCCCACCAGATCAATTCGTACAACGACTTTGTTAATCATGGAATTCAGCAGCTATTTGATTCCATTGGGGAGATTAACATTGACCCTGGATATGATGTGTCGAAAAAGGGAGACGACAGTGATTGGAGGCGGGGGTCCCTCAGATTCGGGAAGGTCACCTTGGAGCCCCCGATGTTCTGGACAGGTGGGAAGTTTGCCGCTATTGAAGGTGCTAATGATCATTTGGAGCTTTTCCCAAGGCATGCTCGTCTCCAGAACATGACCTATTCGTCCAGGATCAGTGTTGAGACTTATCTTCAGGTTGTGGATTGTTAACATGCTATTTGCTTTTATTTTATGGTGAAGTGATTAGGTTTCTTGTCAGGGGTTAGGATCACTAGTGGCTGCAAATTTTTTATGTTCACTGAAGCGGTGAAGCCAAGCCACTGAATAATGATCCTACGTTGTTACCTAATGTCTATTTTCCCTAATGTCTATTTTCCGATATTTTGTGCCAAGACCCCTGGCTTCAGTTTCTTCTTCTTCTGGTCATTCTGGTTACACTTGTCTGCTACTGAAGTGAGGAAACTTGGGCTACATGATATGTTTGGGATTTGATAATTTGTTTCCGTAGATGAGTAATCAACTAATCAAGCCCTTGAACCCAGTGTTTTCATCTTGCTTTTCTTCTTTTACCGTTTCCCATTTTACTTTATGGTCTTCACCGTTTTCAGCCTTTTCACTATTTTCAGGTTTACTCAATGGGTGTATCTAGAAGTGACAAGTTCAAAACTGGTGTCGATAAAACAGTTGAGAAGAAGATACTCAATGAGTATAATTCTGTTGTTACCTTTGGAAGACTTCCCGTCATGGTGATGTCAGACTTGTGCAGGATGCGTTCTGTTGAAAAAAAGGATTGTGAGTTTGATCACGGAGGGTATTTTATTATTAAGGGTGCCGAGAAGGTCAGTTCTTTATTTTTTCAAAAAGAAAACCAAAGAAGTTATATGTTGTTTGTAGTAGCGCAGATTAAATTAGTTACTTAAAGCAAATCTTTTTTCCCTGCTTGTTATTGATTTAGCTTTTTTTTTTTTTGCTAGTCTTGGAAATTTCGTGACATAAAACTTGAAGTCCCCTTTCTATCCAATTACATTAAGGATCTGAAGCATCGTTGGTTGTTAATTGTATATCCAAGCAGAAAAGAAAGAACATTGCACAATCTTATTAATATTGTTTTTTCTTGCTTCACTTACTCTGTTAAGGCAGAGAATAGGCTCTGCCTTTGATATCCTGGTCTTTTTTAGTTAGTTATCCAATTGACAAAATGCAGCTATATCAAATATATCATCGATTTTGCTCTCTACTTTCAACCGCAGACATTCATTGCACAAGAACAAATATGCCTCAGAAGGCTGTCAGTGTCCAAAGACCCAACCTGGACAGTCGCGTATCGGCCAATCGCAAAAAGACAACGAGTCTATGTAAAATTGGCCCCCAAAACCGAGAACGTCTTAGGAACTGATAAGATACTCACTGTCTACTTCTACGTAACGGAAATCCCTATCTGGGTTCTCTTCTTTGCCCTGGGTGTTTCTAATGACAGGGAGGTCGTGAAAATGATTAATATTGACGCAGAAGATTCTACCATCGCAAACATACTCATTGGCTCAATTTACGAGGCTGATAAGAGGTTTGATGGTTTTCGTAAGGAGCGTAATGCAGTAAAACACATCACCGATCTCATGAAGGGTTGTAAATACCCGCCCGAGGAGTCTGTGGATCAGTGCCTTCAGAAGTACTTCTTTCCAAACCTCAGCAGCCCAAAGCAAAAGGCTTGCTTTCTAGGTTATATGGTGAAATGCCTTCTGGAATCTTACAGAGGGCGCCGTAAAACTGATAACCGAGACGATCTGAAGAACAAGAGGCTAGAATTAGCTGGTGAACTTCTGGAAAGGGAGCTGAGGGCTCACATAAAGCATGCGGAAAAGCGTATGGTTAAAGCTTTGCAACGGGACCTCGACAGAGACCGGGAATTGCAGGAGATTGAAAAGTACATGGATGCCTCCATTATCACAAATGGTCTGTCGAGAGCTTTCTCGACTGGGGCCTGGTGCCACCCTTATAAGAGGATGGAGAGGATTTCGGGTGTGGTGGCTACTATCAGGCGCAACAACCCATTGCAGGCAATTTCTGATATGAGGAAAACTCGTCAGCAGGTGTCGTACACGGGAAGGGTTGGCGATGCTAGATACCCGTGAGTCGTCTGTCAATTTTTTATTTTTTTTTGGGATGCAAATCTTTCTTAAATGTTTTGTGGCTTGCAGTTGTTGGTTATTGAACTTGTTTATTAGATATTTCTGTGTGGTAAGATATGCTGATACTAGTTATCTCAGTGCTTATCTGATGGAATTAGTCTTCTGGGACGTAATTCATGATAATCTGAATATATTATTTTTATCTGATTGTTTCTTATTGATCATCATTAATTTTGTTAATCAGAATATTTTACTTTTTTTGTGATTGTTTCTTAATTATCTTTGAATCTGCTTAGGCGAACTGTTGTGTCATGATGATCATGTTTAATTATTCGAAAAATTATCTCTTATTCAGGAGCAGGCTACTTCACCCGTATTTTCTTTGTTTCACAGCATGGTTTTTAAGTTTCATTTTCCCTTGTATAGGTTCTGCATAGTTTCATTCTTCAAAGGATTTGCATTACCAGATTGTTAGTTAATGTCCTTTTTCTTTCTCTTCTTTATTTTTTCTCTCGATTTCTTAGTAGTAGTATTATCATGACCTCTCTGGATTGTTAACATTGATGTGGCAGACACCCGTCTCATTGGGGAAAGATGTGTTTCCTTTCCACGCCTGATGGAGAAAATTGCGGTCTGGTTAAAAATCTAGCAAGCATGGGTATCGTGAGTACAAATATGCTGGAACGAGGGGACCTTATTAAAATTTTTCGTGAGTGTGGGATGGAAAAATTGGATGATGACACTTCAAGTCTGCTCGATGGAAGGCACAAGATTTTCCTGGACGGAGATTGGGTTGGATTGTCCAAAGACTCCTCATCATTTGCTGCCAAGCTAAGGCGCAAACGTCGCAAGATGAGCCTTCTTCGTCAGGTGAGCCCCGAATTGCATCATACAGTTTTTTGTTAACATGGATATGTATGCAGATATTTTACTCCAAAAACTTAGATGAGTCCAAGTATAAATTTTCGACTTGCCCAAGGGACAAAGTAAATATTTTCTATCTTGGCTCTGCTTGCTCTCTATGTGTAATTGTGTATATGAATTTATTGTAATTATAGAAATTAATGAGAAATTAAAAAATGCAAGAAAATAGAGGGGCGATATGGTATACAAAAGTTTTGAAAAAAAATTTCCCCTCAACAAAAGAGAGAGGTGAACAAAATTTTGAAGTAAGAATGAAACATTGTTTAGATTTTGATTTGATACAAGATAAAAATGTGAGGATTAACGTTGATGTTATATAAAGTAGTAAAATGTTGCTGGTAACGATCGGTAGTTAGAAGTATTTGAGTGAATAGTTTTTTTTTGTTGCTGTGAAACATGTAGTGATGATTGGTTTTAATTTTTTATTTACTTTGATGTGAGATTGTTTTTGTTGGGAAATGTGTAGTGACGATTGAATTTCTTTTCAATACTTTGACAAAGATTGGGGGAGATAAAAGTGGGATGTAGTGAATAGTGTATTTTTTGAAAATATTTTGTATCCAATCATTACAATCTAAACGGAAAAGCAAAAATTGTCCGGGCATATGAAAGTATGAAACTGAAAAGTTTCTATATCCAATTCCCACCTAAGTTGCTGCATATGCAATATCAAATTCCAGTTCTGGTAACTAGTGCCCATGTACATTTCCAAAATTTGCCTGATTAGCTCCATGATTTATACCTATCATTCAATCTCCATCTAATAATACCCTTTCCCAAAAATAGAGCTTCTAGTGTACTTCTATTTCCTATGCAAGAATCTTCCGCATACATACATCTCTATTAATACATGCATCATGTGATATATAAACATTTTTTTTCACCTGTAGCTTGAGGTTAAACGAGACCAGCACCAGAAAGAGGTCCGCATATACGTCGATGCTGGAAGAATACTCCGCCCTCTGCTAGTGGTTCCGAACCTTAAAAAAATCAAAGATTTGAAAGGCGACTTAACTTTCGACACCCTTCTAGACAGTGGGGTGCTCGAGTTCATAGGGCCCGAAGAGGAAGAAGACTGCCAGACCGCTTGGGGCATAAAGTACCTCTTCACGGCTGAGCTAGACAACCCGCCAGTCAGATACACTCACTGTGAGCTCGACAGCTCATTCTTGCTCGGCCTCAGCTGCGGGCTCATCCCTTTTGCCAATCATGACCACGCGAGACGAGTTCTCTACCAGTCAGAAAAACACTCTCAACAAGCAATCGGGTACTCCACCACGAACCCGATGTTAAGAACTGATACGAATTCCCAACAGCTGTATTACCCACAGAAGCCTCTTTTCAAAACCATACTCTCGGATTGCCTAGGGAAATCGAGATATGCCGATCACCACAAAGGGATGTTACCCAGGCCTGAGTTTTCTAACGGCCAGTGTGCTATTGTGGCTGTCAATGTCCATCTTGGGTACAATCAGGAGGATTCTATAGTGATGAACCGAACCTCTTTGGAACGCGGTATGTTCCGAACCGAGCACGTGAGGAGTTACAAGGCCGATGTTGAGTACCAGGAAGAGGACAATCCCGGGAAAAAGGTGAAGTCAGAAGATATGATAACGTTTGGGAAGGTGCAGAGCAAGATTGGGCGTGTGGACAATTTGGAGGAGGATGGGTTCCCATTCGTAGGCGCGAATTTGCAGACGGGCGATATTGTTATAGGCAAGCATTCTGCTTCTGGGGTGGACCATAGTGTGAAGCTTAAGCACACAGAGAAAGGTATGGTCCAGAAAGTCGTGCTCTCGTCTAACGATGATGGAAAGAATTTTGCAGTTGTGTCGTTAAGACAGGTAAATATAATTTCTTACATATTTTTATTTTTTATTTAATTATTCTCGGAATATATGGAGAATTTGTTCGATTGGTAGTAACTAGTAATGGAGGGTGTTTATCTAGGTTCGCGCTCCATGTCTCGGTGACAAGTTCTCAAGCATGCACGGGCAAAAGGGTGTGCTGGGGTTCCTCGAGTCGCAGGAGAACTTTCCTTTCACCAAACAAGGAATTGTTCCTGATATAGTGATAAACCCTCATGCATTTCCTTCTAGGCAGACGCCTGGTCAACTCTTGGAAGCTGCCCTTGCCAAAGGCATTGCACTCGGAGGTGCTCTCAGATACGCCACCCCGTTTTCCACCCCATCAGTTGAAGACATAACAGCCCAGCTTCACAGGTACATCATAACATCTCTTTTCATAGTTTGCAACTTGCATAGTTAACGTTCGTAAGAGCTCATTAAAAGTGACTGTAAAAACTAAATAATTTTGCTAAAAAGGAAACGTAATTGTTTTCTAGACGCCATAGCAATTTTAGTCCCAAGGTTCCAACTTTTTGCCTTTTGGTCTTGTAATTAATATGTTGCTGCAATTACTGAAATTGCAAGAAATGCATTTTTTAGTCTAAATGCAATTTCATCCCGCGAAGACTAAAAATTACATTTTTAGTCTTGTTGGTTTAACGTCATAGCAATTTTAGTCCAAGGGTTCCAACTTTTCGCCTTTTGGTCCCGTGATTTAATATTTTGCTGCAATTTTAGTCATTTGAATTGTAAGAAAAAAATAAATTAGAGGACTGAAATTGAAATAAATTTTAAATTACATGACTTAAGTTGCTAATCGAAAATCTGAGAATTTGTTGCAATTTCATTCCGCAAATGATCGAAATTGCAGCACAATATTAAATCACATGACCAAAAGGCGAAATATTTGAACCTTGGAACTAAAATTGCTACGGCGTTAACTAAAAAATTCCATTTTGCCTTGTTTTCTCTCAAATGATAAATAAAATAAAAAAAAAATTGGCCGCACCCAAAAAAAAAAAAAAAAAAAAAAAACAGGCTGGGATTCTCGAGATGGGGAGACGAGCGTGTGTACGACGGGCGGACGGGCGAGCCTGTTCGATCCCTGATCTTCATGGGGCCCACGTTCTACCAGCGGCTGACCCACATGGCGGAGGACAAGGTGAAATTCCGCAACACGGGGCCCGTCCATCCCCTGACCCGGCAGCCCGTGGCTGACCGGAAAAGGTTCGGTGGCATAAAGTTTGGTGAGATGGAGCGCGACTGTCTCATTGCTCATGGAGCCGCAGCAAACCTCCACGAGCGACTCTTCACACTCAGCGACTCTTCACAGATGCACATTTGCCGAAAGTGCAGCAATGTGGCTGGCGTGATCCAAAGGACGGTGCTCGGGGGCCGAAAGATCCGTGGGCCCTACTGCAGGTTTTGTGAGTCGGTCGAGGATGTGGTTCAGGTGAGTGTGCCGTATGGGGCTAAGCTGCTTTGTCAAGAGCTTTTCAGCATGGGTATCTCGCTCAAGTTTGATACTGAGTTGTGTTAAAAGGTTTCTTGATTGATGTTGTGGACTTTTTTGGGGTTAATGTTAATTGTC